TCTACACCCTAAAGTCAATCTGTTTTCAAAAAATCAGCTTTTTACGTCAAGCGCTTTAAGCAGGATCGTGATTAATCAATGATCAGATTTTTCGAAACACCCTGTAAAACATTTTTAAAATATCTTAAAATATATAAAAAAACAAAATAAAATATACGTGTTTAAGCGTTTTTTCGGAAACTTGACCGTTTTTTAAATAAAAAATATTGTAATATTTGAGGGCTGGTTTCACCCTCTTGGACATGGAATTTCGAAAAATCCCTTCTTATCGAACCTCTACACCCTAGAATCAACCTGTATGCCAAAACTGAGCTTCTTGCGTTGAGTGGTTTGAGCAGGATCGTGATTAACCAGTATGTCAGTCACTTATGGATTTTATATATTAGTATAGATGACACACTAAACTGCATAATTATACAAAAATTAAGTTTTCTATCTCTTCAAACAGTAAAAACGAAAATATAACACTTCATATTAAATGAGACACACTGTATATACGTGAATATGTATAGTTTCCGTCACTTTTTCCGATTGTTAAATATTTCCAGTCAAGGTCCTACGTTCTTATTGATTTTAATTTAAACGGTAAACGGTCTGTCTTTATCAAGTTATAAAAAAACGCTTCAGTGCTAGACCAAGGGAAATACCAGCCTCATATACAGGGTGGTCTGAATTGTATTAAATTTGTATTAAAAAATTTAGTATAAATCATGTCCTAAAATGCTTCGTTTTGGAGGTACAGGGTGTAAAATTTAATTTTTTATTTTTCTTTTTTTTAATAATTTCTGAAGTAACGTCGATATTCGGATAAAAATAGGTGTCTGGGTGTTTGTTTTTTTTCGCTATATTATCTAAAAACGCTACCAGTTTGTATTTTACGTAGTAATATTACACCTTTGTATTGTACTTACTTCATACAGAGAAGACCAGGCTACTAGTAACATAGCAAGTTGCCGGACGAATTTACGTTTACCTAATTTGCGTTCGTACTCGAGATTCACTGCCAGACGCGTCTTTCACTGCCGGCTAGTCGGCGCGAGGAGTGCCGAGTATTTATTATTTTCATTTTAAGTGGTTACCAGGTAACATTTAAAATAAAAATACTTAAATCTTTATTATTTGAGTGTTTTTACAAGCCAAAACTAAAAATAAATAAATTCTCTAAACCCAAAAAGAACTAAAATATTACTCTAAATAAAAAAAAGTTATAACAAGTGTTGAAAAAGACCACCTTCTTGTGCTAGACAAAAGCCTAGGCGGTCGTAAAATCCCCGTCTGACATTGGCTGGTATTAGGGCTAATAATTTGGAAAGCCTCTCGTATTTTTTACTTGAAGCTCATCCAGATTATTAGCCCTATTATGACCATACACTTTGGGTTTTACATAACCCCACAAAAAGAAATCATTGGGAGAAAGATCTGGTGATCTAGCGGATCACAAAATAGTTCCATATCCACTAATTAAACAGTTAAACACTTGCTTTAACTTCTGTTCTTCATTAATCAACACATCAACATTGTGTTTTTGTGGGGACACGCACCCATGTGTTTCAAAATTATTAATAACTCTTGATATAGTAGGTAAAGATAGAATTGGCCTGTTTACAAAAGTTTGTGGAAAAATTGTTTGTATATCTCGATAAGACCTATTTTGGAAATACCATTTTACAATTTGAATTTTCTCACGAACTTCGTAAACATCCATTATTTTATTTAAAAAATAAATTTTACACGAGAACTGTCGCGAGAATCTATGTATTCGTTTTGGCTATTAAAACACGAATAAATACAAATTATGAAACATCCTTATCACATATCTACCTATTTTTATTTTATGGCATTTTTCGCCTGCTTTTTATCCGGCGGATGGGCATACGCTAATTCGTCCGGTTCTGCCTATGTTACTACTACGGTGGTCCGGCCTGTATACGGCGTCCACGGGCAAGAGTGTTCTACCGGCGTCTCTTTCTCGAGAAAAATAATTTATAAACTTAGCAACGAGCTCTTGTTCATTTTTAAACCTTTGAGCATAGATCACAAAGCATCCCCCTTTAGAACTTCATCTGTCATGTTAAGAAATAAAAATCTTTGAATAAGAAGACTAAAGAAGGAACATATCAAAAATCTTAGGTACACCGCGATGGGCCTCAAATATGGCCGACTTAAATTCCGGTTTATCAGTGTCGTTCTAATTTTATTTAAAAAATATAAACTATGACATAGGGTAGACGTGGGGTAGACTCAATAATTTGTTGTTTTATTTTACGTTGTGAATAAATGTTGGTAGTTATTAAAATTGTTATAAAAATATATAATTCTAATAAAAATAGATAAGTTATAATAAGTACCGTATGATCGAGAAAAAACGGCGTCAGCGATGGTTATGGAATGAAGATCGCTGTCATTTTATATGTAAATTTATATGGGAAATGTCATTGATGTTCATTTCCCAGCCAACTGGACGCCGTTTTTTTTTCGATCATACGGTATTTATTAACACAAACATCCGATACGCTACTGAAGCAGGTAAGTCAATATAATGTATCTAAATTAAAGTGCAAGAAAAATATAGTTTAGTTAATTTAAGTGAATTTCATAAATTAATGATCGGTTTTCTACACGTATGTAGATTATATAGTCACTTACTAGCGAAAAGTTGTTCCATTATTTCACTCAATTTTTGCCGAGATCTACCGCACGCTACACAACCAACTATTTTAGAGTCTTTTTCGATAAATCGCGATAGTGTCACTGTTAATTTAAGTGCTGCCACAATTTCCATCTAGATTTACTACCTTTATACAACTATCAGTAGTAGAATAAATAATAAATAACATAAAGTAAGCTCCGTAAAGACTGACAAATCCACAAAAATTCAGATCAAATTCAAATGTGTCAAATGAATCGTCAAACAGAACTGTCAAGGATCCCCACCCTAGAGTGCTTTTTCCGCCCACCATGCATGAATACATGGATAGCATTATGCTCCTTCCTTAGTCTTCTTATTCAAAGATAAAAGTAAATAATAAAGCGCCTCTCGTGTTTGTTCGCATACTAAAATTTTCAATTATTGCCTGTAGGATGCCTGTAGGTATATATTTTTAATATATTTTTAAATTTACTTTTTTAATTGTAAAAGTAATATATTATATTTAAATGGAATATATTACATATCAATTATGTCAATTACAGGATTACAGGTTCGTTTTCTAACATTTTTTAAATAAAACGAATTATAAAAAAATTCTATGTAAGTATAAAGAAAGTAAAATATAAAATAGACAAACGCATAATTACATTGCAATAAAACTTCCACTTTAGTTTTGCAATCCAAACGCAATATTTCTACTTCACATGAAATCACTGAAACTTCCGCGGCTGACAACGAAAACTGAAAAAAATATAACAGCACTTTTTATTTTGTACCTGCATATCAACATTACGCTGTACCAATATGTTTTTGTTCTTGAAATAATATAAATTATTTAATTATAACTTGCGAATTTTCATATTTTAACATGATTTTAACTATTTCTGACAATAACTAACTTTTTGTTATCAAGATGACATTTTAGACGGCAACTGACATATATGTCATAATATTTTAATTTTAAATATGTATGTAATATAATTTAAATGAATATAATGGCAACTTTGTACTAAGAAAACATTTATACATTCATAAAATACAACAAAGCCGAATAATGTAGTTTGAAAACAATGAAAACTGAATTAAAATTTAAAAAGTTAAGCGCGACCCCTTGTGTCAAAATTAGATGATTAAATTTTCGCAATTTTTACACCATTTGATGACCGGTGGCGCCTCTAGTGTTTGTTCGGGCGGTTGGTCTTTTACTCCTGTTTATGGCCATTAAAGAAAAAGTTCTAAAGGGGGATGTTTTGTTGCTCTTAGCGATTTTTATCAAGATACATTTTTTACGTAAAAAATGTCGAAAATGTATATTTTTTACTCTGTATAGGTACGGACAAAAAGTTATTACACTTCAAAAAAAAACAGTTAAAAAACATGTAGGTGGGGCCTCCTACAAATACTAGTCATATTGACACAGAAATCAAATTTATCACGTCAAAAAACACGCAAATTTATCACGTCAAAAAACACGCAGACGCCAACTTTCATCCAAATATCGATTACATTTCAGAAATTATTTGAAAAAAAAAACGAAATCTAAATTAAACTTCTACACCCTGTTAACACACGAGGTATTTCAGGGCATAACTTTATACGAACTTTTTTACTTATTTTTATCAGCTTAATATGCTACCGAAGTTTCCCGATACAATTCGGACCACCCTGTATATTTAGTATTTATTTTTAACAACTTGCCACTGTTCAAATTTGCGCGCGTAAAACTCGTAACTAAATAAACCAATCAGATTTCATCAGATGATCAGATTCGTTCGGTTTGATTATGTGAGATGTGTTCTGTGGATGTGTTCTTTTTCTCTTTGATTGTGATTTTCGGGTGTATTTTAAGAAACGAAATTAAATAATTCAGTTTTTATACGTAATTATTCTATAACAGATCGAAAAGATACAGATTATAGCGTCCAATTTCCCTTTCTTCTGTTTTTGCTCCAGTCAGCTGATATCGTTCGACAATTGAGTGTCCTTGAATGTCGTATTTTTACCTAAATAAGGAGCTTATTGTTAATAATTACGTTTTTAATCATACATAAAACTATATTTAATGTGCAGTGCCATGAGAAACAGGCGGAATAAATCGCGAAATCTCACAAAACTTAATAATAAAAGTAAGAATCATTATTTACCTGTCCTAACCTTAAAATTTATTAAAAGGTTAGTGGGCTGTGTATGTGCTTGTTCATATTTTTTAAATACGTAATTAATCATTAATTTTTAGGCAGAATATAACCTTTTTTATCGATTTCGTAGTATTTAGACGTCAAAATTTTTAGTTTTTTTGCCCGGTTATTTTCCAAATTAAAACTAATAATAGTTTTCTTTAAATCTACAGTTAGTGCAAGTGAAAATGAAGAAGAGGACGAAAACGAATTCTTCGATGCTGTAGCGGACGGCGGGGGACAAAATTCCGATGCAAATGATCATTTTACTCTCGATATAAGAACCAGGACAGGCGTGAGAAGGAACAGCTCGGATAGTTCAAGTGAAGCCGAAGAGACCCAAGAAACTAAACAGGTAGGTACTGACTAATAATTTTTTTAGACAATATTACGTGTTTGTTTTGCATATTTTCAGTTGTTGCTTTCAAGATACATATTCTATGTTATAAATATAACAGCATTCTTATATTTAAGGGTAATACAAGTTAGTAACACTAAGTTATAGTGTTTTTTACTCAATATATGGTTGTTTTTGCAAAATATGTTTTATTCACAGAAGCCACACATTCTATGTTATAAGAATAACATAGAATGTATATTCTATAGTAATTTCTAATATTTTCAGTTTGTTGTAGTTACAGGTGGTAAACATCCTACTAATGTAGTAAATAGTGATGCAAATAAAACTGATACAACAGTGGCTTCTAATGAAGTTACCAAAGGTACTACAGTTATTAAAAATAATTAAAATTTAGAATTTTTATGTGCGTGCTTTAAAATTCAATATATTTTGTTCTCTTTGACTGATTTTGATAATTTTTGAAGCAATTTATAGCTAAATTATTTGACTATGTCGATTTATTGCGTCGATTATACAAGGAAAAACAAAATAGTTTGAGCGAAAGTTTGAAGCACATTGTGGACTAGTTTTAACAAAGTAAGTAAATTAACAACCACTTTATAATCAAGGTGGATCTTTTCTCAATATTTTGTTTTTTGATTTATCTCGATAGCTTTATTTTTGCTGGAGATATTCGCTTTTGAACAAGACAGTAACAATTTACAACAATTTTAGCATTAGAAGTTTGCCTTTGCTTTTGTTGCTGATCAATACACCTATGAAACAGCATTTATTGTTTTTGTAATGTCACTGTCATTAAAAAATCATACTATTCTTGTTTGTTGACAGTTTATCACTCTACCAGAGATGGTTATACATCCAGAAGTTGTGGCCACTATTGTTGCTTTAATTGAACATGTTAAAGATGAACTTCTGGACTTAAAGCCTCTCTGTGCTAGAATAAGTACCAACAAACAATAATTTCACTTTTCAATGACAGTGACATTAGAAAAACAATAAACTCTATTTCATAGGTGTGGTTATTAGGACCAAAAACAAAGGAATGCCTTTAGCGCTAAAATTGTTGTAAATTGTTACCATCTTCTTCAAAAGTGAATATCTCCAACAAAAATAAAGCTATTGAGATGAACCAAAAAACAAACTATCGAGAAAAGATAGACCTTGGTGCTAAAGCGGGTTTTATATTCCTTGCTTTGTTAAATCATTCTACAGGGTGTTTCAAACTTTCGCCAAAATAGCAACATTTTGTTTTCTCTTGTATAACAGACACATGGACACCTTTATTTTTAATTTATAAATTAGGCTAAAGTCAAATAGTTTAGCTTCAAATTGCTTCAAAATTTACTTAAATCGGTCCACTAGAACAAAAATATTGGACTTTAAATTATATGACATTTTAAGAAAATCCTAATTTTAATTATTACAAATTATTATCAAATTTTTAGCCAGTAGGCGAAAAGAAGAACCAGGGTTCCTGATAAACCCAATTACCCCTTAAACCTGTGGTCAATTATGAAAAATTGTATTGGAAAAGATCTGTCAAAAATACCTATGCCTGTCAATTTCAACGAACCTTTGAGTATGTTGCAGAGATTGACAGAGGATTACGAATATGCTAGTATACTAGATCAAGCTGCAAAGTATGTATTTTTTTTAAATACAGGGTGTTTAAAATTCGGCACTCATCACGGGAGTCTATCAAATGGTTAGAAATACAGGGTGGTTTAAATTAGGGCAAAGTTGTCTGTCACTGAGCCTAATGATCATTTGTTTAGTAATCGGACTTATCTTTGCCATTTCCGGAAATATGGCTGAAAAACTGAAATTTCCAGTTGGGGTTTTTATTTTTTATCTGTTTATGTTAGTTCAAAAAAATCTATAAACACATTCTCAAAGAGACTTTTTAGCTTTATTCTTGGGTGGTGACAAAACTCACTTAAGGTGTTTCGTTTTTCTGAAACCATCATCAATTTTTTAGAGACCTGGATTTTTTTATTTTATTTTTTTGAAGCTTATGACCTCCCAAGCCATTATGTATCGCACTTACCAGCTACAAAGCTTCCATTGCTGCATTGATGCGTGATGAGGGTGCAATGATTTAAAAATCGTGATTTAAATCAACGGTTTTTTTATTTTAATCATGGATTTAAATAAAAAAAAACCAGCTTGTTTAAAAACTTATGATAAATCGAAAGATAACTGTAAAAATTATAATAACTTTTCCTATAAAGCTATAAAAAATTATTATTTCAAATAATAAATTATTTCTATATCAAATATACCCTATATCTATTCATCAAATAAGTACAAAGTTACACTTGCTGATGTAACGTTTAAATACTTTAATAAATCGAAAAATAATTGTAAAAGATATAACATCTAACACATATCCATAATATTTATTAATCTATTAAAATGTTGGACCGATTTTTGAAGTTATTTTGTATGAATCCATTACACTTCTAAATGGCAGAGATTTATTTTGAAATTGTGAAGTGCCAGAAATCCGGTATTTGAATACATTCCATTCGCAAATTCTAGTGCAGGACTAGTTTCTTCTGATGTCAGGTTATATTTTTATATTCCCGAGGACTAATCAATGTCGAAGATAATTTGGAGTCAACGCTGTTTTATACCTTTTTTGAAACAGCTGTATGTTGATCAAGCTAACTTCCGCATTCCCTAATTTATCTTCTAGTTCATTCCAAATTTCTACAGACATTTTGATAACTACTTTGCACTTTGAACATTAGATGGTACTAATTTTATTCTCAACTTAAAACAGTCATGACTATTTCCAAAAAGAAATCCCTTTGATATAAGTGGGCGAATTTTTTTGCGGGCATCGGCAAAGTTTACAGAATAAAATATATCAGTGACCGATGTGGAAAAACGACACCCACCGTAGAAATGTTAATATTGTCAATATCGGGTAGAGTTACAAAGATTTAGCCATTCTGAGCGCGGCTGTAAAATAGGAATAATTTTGCAATCATCCTTCAGTTCTATGGTGTATTCAGAAAAATTGAAAACTACTGAACAACCTCCAAAGCATATTTTGAATATTAATACTAAATTAAAATCGTGTATTCGTTATTTTAGTGAAAATGTTTATAAAAGTGAACGCTGGTTATGTGGTTGTAAGGCACACAATAAACTTTTTGTTGACCTTGTCTACTATTTGATCTAACACATACGTTCACAGCTTAGTTTTTATCTAAATTTAGTTCTTTTTTAAACTGGTTTGATTACTTTTTTAACCTCATTTTTGTATATTTCATTTTGTAACTCCAAAATTAAAGACTTAAAAAAAGTTAAAAGTGGCTCACCCCTATAACTTTTTTTATTTTTTCAGATATAAAAACAAGTTTCGGTTTGTTAGTATATGACATAAATTAGGATTGATCGACGTATTCAATTATTTTCGGCCACTTACTGTTTCACCGGAAATGACTACAACTTTTAATTTTTAAATGGCACCCTCGGTATTTTCCCACTTTATTAGATAGAAAATGTCATTCTGAATAGGATGACATATTATATGTCAATGTTTGACATTTTCGCTTAAAACAAAATTGTATTGTAAATTTCAATATAGAGTGCCATGGCCCATGGCTGTGTTAAAAACATTAATTTTTAATCAAGGAGTCTTGGAAAAATAGATTTGATAGTCTGATATTTTTAGTGTCTTCTCCTGGCCGGTTAAAAGATGCCCAAATCGTATTTTTCATATCTCAATTTTATCAAATGGAACGTGGGTGGCTCATTAGCATATTTGGAAAGCAAAAGTTGTAGTCATTTCCGGCAAAACAGGAAGTGACCGAAAACAATTGAACACGTCAATCAATCCTAATTTATGTCATATACTAATATACCAAATCTCGATGTTTTATCTGAAAAAATAAAAAAGTTATGGGGCGAGCCACTTTTGCGACGCACCCGGTATTTTCGTACTTTTATGCTTAGGCGTAAAACTGCTTTACTTTTATGCCTAAACAACGGCATAAATTAACGACTTAACGCTAAAGTAAACTCTCATCTAAATAAGAAATAAAAAAATCAATATACCTATCTCATGTGACTTTAAAAGCCTTTAAAGACTTTTTTCATTAAAATCTTTAATCTTTAATACAAATTTGTGTAATCAAAATCTGTATTTAAGCAAAATAAATACTTATTTTTATTTTCTTTAGAAACCCCCGAACGGAAACTTCAACACGACAAGAACTCAATTTTGCTCTGAACAACTTCAAAATGGACTAAATTAGGAACGCCGGAAAACCTACCGAAAACCGTTTTATTTTTTTATATTAGGTTTTAAAAAGAAAAAAATAGAAGTAAATGGCGCTATTATGGTCCCTCTCCTCAATGATTCGGCCTCTTTAAAACGCAATTTTACCTGTTATTATATTTAATTAATTTGCTTTCGGACCAAACGCAGTGGCACGTGGAATAAGGCAACAAGGTAAAACCAAATTAAAATTTAATAATAATACAACCTAGGTCCTTTTTTCACAGATTTTATGATTATATTCGGGCTCTTAACTACGAAAGCGTTGAGCTGCCATAACGTTGAAAATATTTTTGGCAAACTTTACAGTTTTTTTGTAAATTTACACTTTTTCTGTAAATTTATATTTTTCCGGCAAATTTACACTTTTTCATGTAAATTTACATTTTTCTTGTAAATTTACACTTTTTCTGTAAATTTACATTTTTCCGGCAAATTTACACTTTTTCATGTAAATTTACATTTTTCTTGTAAATTTACACTTTTTCTGTAAATTTACATTTTTCCGGCAAATTTACACTTTTTTCTGTAAATTTATATTTTTCCAGTCAATTTCTGTGCATTAGTGTGGCATATCTTTATACTCAGGAGACTGAACTCTTTCAATATCTCAAATATAAAATGCAGGTCCGTATTTAAAAAAATATAAGTTGGCCTATGTATCTCACAAATTAACAGCTAATTTGAAAATCTAAAATACTATCAGATAGCACTGATAAAGTGGCTATGAGAATGTGCAATTAGTTTTTTGATTTTTTAAAAGTAACGACAGGAAAATATAAAATCGATTTTCAAAAAAATCCGTTTTTCTTAAAAAACTCAGTCATCCTTGAAATTTTTGAAACTTTTTTGATAGCATATTGGCGCAACTTTGTTCAAAATTGAGCTATCTTCGTATTTATTACGGTTTCCGAGATACCAATGCTCGTACCTCGAATTTGTAGCACCTTGTATATTATAAATTTTCATGTTTTTTTTTTCATTTTCTCTAAAACGGTATTTGGAAAAGTATAAACGGGATTAATCATTTTAGAACAAGCAAAATTTTTTATGAAGAATGCATTTTTCTCAAAATTTGAATAATACAATTTTTTTTTCTTGTAAAGACAATCCGGAGACATACTATAAGTACCCAAATTTTATTTACCTACCTGTTGGATATTTATCCACAACCTATCACTGCCTACAACCTACAACAGATACACTCAGTGCAAAAGAAACGCAACGGAGTTTTTGGTAAAAAATTTAAAATGTTATATTTTTGTTATTTTTAGCCCTATTTTCATGAATTTTTTAGCAAGCTGTATATAATTATATCAATTTTAATTCGTAAACTCAGCTTTTTATAAACTTTAGTATATGGCATATTATACAAGGTTAATCGAGGGGTTGTTTTTTACCCTAACTAAAACACCCTGTGCAATAATTTCGTCTGTAAATTTTCCTAAAAT